TATATATATATATATATATATATATATCATCCGTACAGGCCAAAAAGTTCAAACTTATAACTCTCGTTCAACCAAAATCTAAAATAGGATTCACTCGTATCTCCCATCTCAAACTATGCACTACAATTGATCCAAAAAAATAAAAAACAAACTATGCACTACAATATTGTTATTGGGTTCCTACGTTTTTTTGTAATTAATTTATGATTTTTTAATGCTTTTTAGAAGGTTACCGGGCTTGAATTTACTAGCTAGAGGACATATATATATATATATACATATAGAAAGGAAGGATTTTTTTACTTCAAGAGTAAGTCTACCTAGATTTACTCTGTTCAAAAACTCATGTTCTACATCAAATTTCAATGATCCAACCGTTTAATTTAAAATCCTTAATACATAGATCAAATATGTAAATTTTTAGAAAATTTAAAAATTATTTGATACTTCGTTTCATCAATTCGAATTAATATATAAAATGATTTTATAAAATGATTTTATGATTATTTGTCAATTTGAATTAATGAAATAAAGTATCAAATAATTTTTAATTTTTTTAAAAATTTGCAGATTTGATCTATGCATTAAAAACTTTAAATTGAACTTTTGGATCATTGAAATTTAATGTAGAACATGAATTATTGAATGAAATAAGTTTAGGTAAACTTACTCTTAGAGATATATATATATATATATAGATATATATATATATATATATATTATCTCGGTACTGTATTTATAGTCCTGATTATTTTTAAAGAAATAATGGGGTCTCGAAAATTCAATGATTTTGTACAATAATATTAGTAGGCATCACTAATTTTTTGGCACGTATTACGTGTATATATATATATACCCAGATGACATTGTTGAGACACATACTTCTTACCTCAGTAAGACTACTTACATTGACATGGAAAATATTTAAAGAGGGGAAATAAAACAGTATTTAAAAGGAAACAAATAATTTAATAATAAAGAAAGATATCAACCGAGGTTCTCGTAGTCTTAATAAAGGAATCGAGAAATTTTCAAGTTATACATAAGCTCTGTGTGTGGTGTCGCCTTTAACATGACAATGGTATAAGAAGGAAAATTTTGAATTTTTATTGGGAATGAATATTTGGTATGATATATTTTTTGTGGTTAATTCTGTAAGTAAGATCATGCAATCTAAAGATATGCATATAGATGTTGCTATAGATCACTTAAGAGACCTTATAACTTATTTAAAAAATTATAGGGAAAATGGTTTTACATCTGCATTAGAATCTACCAAAGAAATGGTTATTGAAATGGACATAGAGCCTAAGTTCAATGAAAAATGTAAGATTCATAAGAAAAAAACATGTTGATGACATTGATAATGATGAAATAGCTCATTCTACTAAAGATTCTTTTCGCACTAATTATTTTTTTGTATATATTAGA